GTGTGACGACCACAGGGAAACCAGGGTTCCTTCTTTCCTCAAGCACAGATGAGTCCAGCCTAGTAAACTGTGTTGAAGCTTTGTGTGAAACTGTAACAACACATACAAGCGAACTTTTAACTTGACAGCAAGTAATCTTAAACATTTTTATTTAGTACCTGAACAGCAGGAGTTAGTCTGTGCTTTTGCTCATACAGATACCAATTCTCCCGTTTTAAAAGGACTGAAGGAGGAGGTTCATCCCAAGCTCATCCAACAAATCTGAGACACTGCATAAAACTGTATCATAAACAGTCCTTGAAAGGATGAACTGATGATTTTTTTTTCACCACAACCACCTTCTGAATCACCTTTCCATGTTTTGAAAATTTTAAAATATTCGGCTTCATTTTACTGCTGGTATATTGACAAAAGCAAACCAGATTTTGGCCCAGAAATGGTTTAACAGCAGACTTGCAAACCTGTATAATGGCCTGGCTGACAAGGGTTGACATGTAACAGGTGGCAAACCCCCAAAACCTGGAGTCCACGTGAGGTCCTGGAAGTGATCAGATAACAAACCCCACAGAAAGTGCGGATAGGAAGTAGTAGATAAATGGAGGAGGTCTTTCTCCGCGTGTATTTTTTTAACCTCCATCTTCCTCCCTTACCACTCTTTTGTTTTGCTTTTTTTTGTCTTTATTAACAGTTTTGATTTGATGCATGCCATAAACACTCAGGTTTTCAGAACATTGGGGCTAATAGGCAAGAAGATGAGCACTGTGCTCTTTTCTGTGTAGATTTTTTTTCCTAATAGACAGTGTTTTTGTATTATGTGTCAGCACTAAGAACGTGGTTGACTTGTTATTTGGAAAAGGCTGTCAGTTTAATAGACAATGAATTCACTAAATTACATTCCCAAATATTTTGTCACTAAATAGTTAAAAGCTGAGCCAAAGCTATTGGCAGAAACCAGCTACTGAAGCATGAATTAATTTCTGCTGCACTTCCAATGACTTTTGTGGTGTTATATTAAGGATGAATTTGGACTTAGGTTTAATCTCCTCTGGGATTGCTCAATTACGGAGTGTTTGGAGATGGTTGCTCTAGAAGAAACAAGCAGGGGCAGGGCTTAGTCAGGACTCTTTTCTAGAATAAATTTAATTTACCTCTCAGCCCCATGATGGGAAGCACCCCATTAGAGCAGCAGAGCCTCTATCTTTGGTGCAGGTTCCTGCTCCTGTCTAGCCGTGAAGCCTTTGCTGTGAGTGGTGGGGCTGGAGATGGTGAGGAGCTGGCAGAGAGCCCAGCACAGCTCAGCCCCGGTGCTTGGCAGCCCCAGCCTCTCGGCTTGGTGGGTGAGAGAATAGGCTCCGAGGAGGTAAAAGCAAGGCATTTTGGGGCCTTGTGTGAGGGAGAGGGGGAGGCAGTCAGCCTTCTTCCCTGGAGAAAGGAGTGAATAGAAGGTGAGGCAGACATCATCAGGCTGAATGGTGATCACAGTCCTGCTCAGTCTGTTCTAGCAAGCCAGGTCGACAAAGACCTTATCCACTGTCTGCTGCCAATACAGCTAATGCAGAGAGATTAAATCGCTGGGTCACCTGAAATCAGGCTACTAATAAAACAGAGAATGCTGATTGAAAATCCAACTGGCTTATCTCACCCAGTGATTATGAAAAGTCTGCTTTCTCAACCAACTCGATTATCAGTAAAGACACAGTGAGTAATTGGCACTGTGCTGCACTAGCATTCATCTGATAAATTAATTAAATATGCATAAATCGTTTGGTATAACGGAAGCAGAGTCACACTAAGAAAACACTGTCATACGATCAGTGTGTCATGCTTTGAAAATTAATCTCTCTGCTTCTTTGCTCCAGCTTTGCTCTTGTATTTGTACTGCAGGAGGCTATTATCTTCTGACATCAAAACCATCGTCATTGTCTCATAATTAAAGATCTTTTTTTTCTGCTGAAGATAATACATTAGGTTAATAACTAACTAAGTTTACATCTTCCTCACCTTATTCAGTATAGTGGAGAACTTTCTCATTAAAAGATAAAAATTACATCCTTTGATGTAACAACTGGTACCATATGAGAGATTATAATACTTTCTGTATTGGTGTTAATGTTACAATGATACTACTAAGTCGTATTTTTTTTATTAAAAATGATAAGATCTAGTTAATTTCTTAGCAGACTCTCACATGACCTCTCTTACATTTCGGAAACAAGGGAAGTAGAACTTTAAAAGTTAATAACAAACATAGTAAAAAAATATATATATATGAAAGTGTATTTTTTTTTCCCAGAATATGAATTAACATAAATGTAGTAGCTATCTTTCTGAGTCTACGCTTCTATAAAATTGGAATAACTATTACAGAGTACACTATAAACCTGATGAGCTATTAAAATCACAAGCTAACAATTCTTTCTTCTAATTCTGACATAAACCAATTAATGTTTTTGTTTTAAAGGATAGCTGATAATTTCTATTTGTGTGAAGGATGCACTGTACCCCGTTGTCTACTATATGAATTGTATATGGAAAGCTGCAGTCCAAATACCAAGTGTCAAGTAAATCCAGCCACCTTTGGAAAGGTACTCAGTAGACGATATATAAGAGGCAGAGATACCTAAACAGAAAAACTGATGATCAAATATACACACTGTATATTAAAAGAGATTAAATGACAGAGAAGAATGAATATGTAATGTATTATGCTTGTGTCTTTTCTAATGTATTTCTGGTAAGTCCTCATGTAGACACAGTTATACTAGAGAAAAGAGTATTCTTTGTGGTAGAGTATTTTCTTCAGGGAACTGGTATATGTCACACTAGGGAAGATTTCTTTGGCCAATATATTTTACAAAGCTTTACCAGGGTAAAAAGCACAAGGTTAATAAACTAGTCCTGTGGAGCTGATTCTTCTGTCCTTAAAAGACCCCTTCGGTTGTTACATAATTTTATACTTTCCTTTTTAAGCATACTTGGGGAGATTTTGCTCCAAACACACACTAAAAAAGTTGTTACACATTCACCCAAGCAAAACAAATGCAGCTGTAAAACCCAATCTCTTTCAAACAGTTCCACTTTTCTAATACATGGAGGTTGAGACAAACCACAGAGCACTTACCATTTAGAAATCCCAATTGCAACAAGCACTCATAGCTGTTCAACTTTATTTAACAAATTATGGAAAAAAAATGTATTGTGATTATTTGTTGCTTAGGACTTTTTGTTCAGATTTTCCTATTTATACCACTATTATTATTCTATTAATTCCCATGGTAGGAGCTACTGAGCATGGTTTTAACACAAAACCTAACTAATTTAAGTAAAAATTGTACCTGAAATCCATTTCATTTTTGCAGATAACCTTGTTTTATGAATCATTTGTCTCAGTTCTGTTGAATCTGATTTTTTGTACTGGTTAAGTTAAATCTCTTACTTAAAATCAAGATTTGAGTGAGTGATGAGTGTGATTTATTACCATAGCTTAATGGATCATCACCCATCAGCCAAGCCCATGGGCAGAATATGACTGGCTCAGGGTAGATGTCTGCCATGAAGCTAGTCACCTTAAAATCTCATGGTAGTTAATAGAGAGAAATAAACAGTTACATATTATTCCTCTCACCCTAAATGAGTCATCTCGGGCAGCTCAGATGAAATGTGCCTTGGGACTGCCTGTTTTCCTCCATTGACTACAGAGTCTGCAGTGACTAGCTTAGACATCTCTAGCGTGTAGCCGCGTAGGTAAAATTAATCCCATCCTGTCTGTACGCTGTCAGGCACTCCAGTGTGATTGAGTTACCACCTGTAAGATAAGCCTTCTTGTGGTTTAAGTTAACGCATTTTACCTTGAAGTTGGGACAGGCATGGATGAAGCATGAGTCTGGTCACGCAGAAGCACTTAGCTGATGAGCCATAGCTGCTATAGGTCGCTGCTTGCAACTGTTTGCTCACAGCCTTAACTGACCCAGTACATTGAGGTGCAAGTTAACACATCTCAAGTGAGCAAGCTGGGGTGCAGCTCCCCAATGACTTGAAATGGTCTGTCCTTCTGCACCAAGAGGTGGGAGCATGCAGCAAGAGGCTGAGGAGGGCAGGAACTGCACCAACCCTGGTTTAAACTAAAGGTGCACATGGAGTCGGTTACCATGGCCTAGCTAATGGGCTGAGCTATTAGTAATTCATCAAGCTGTAGTAAACTGACTGCATTACATGAGTGTAGACTATAAGGATTTTCTCAGTCAAGCTCAGTGTGAATGAAACTGTGATCATTTCAGACACTAATAATCTCATCTGCCCTATCCTTCTGCCCAAAGACACTGCTGTCTCTGTAGAAGAGGCAGTAGGAAGAAGTATGTGTCTCATGCCACAGAAGCCCCAGTTTCCCAGGCTGTCCTTTTAGGAGAATAGGATTATGCTGAAATACCAGCTTGAGAAAGGGAACAGCTGGGGTGGGTGCACACAGAAACATGCAAAGAACAGGACCACTCCTACATTGTTAAAACTGGAGGTGTACGTCAGTGTGAGTTGGGGAAATTTGTCCTTTAGCAGGCCTTTCGATCAGCAAAGTGCACTTTGCACAGTCCAAGCTTTTCGCTGCTGAGTGGCGGCTCCCCTAACTCATCACTAAGGTTGAGCACTCAATCCTCTGTTCCTGCTATATAGAGAATGTTAGCTCCAGCTGTCCTGGGTTAGTCTCCATCTTCACAGCACAGCTCATGCAGAATAATCATAGTGAAGTGGATTATTATCCTGACAGCATTTTATTATTCTATAGGACCTAACCTTGACAGATACTGTGTGACCTCAGTTCACATTTACCACCACGATGGTCAAGAGGTTGCTTTGCAGCTTGATGATTCCAGGTCCTTTTGAAACAGATAAGTCAGGCCCCATCCTGCAAGTACTCCTTTGCAAGAGTGAGTGGGTGGGCAAAGTCCCTAGTGTGAGTAAGTCTTACTCAAATGACTAAGGCCTGCAGGACTGGAAGAGTACTGGAGAATCACGGTATGTTTGAGTTCCCCTAGCTGATACACCCACCTGACTGTGGGTGGTCTCCTGGTGTGTGCACTGACTGTGTTTCAGTGCAAGGTAAAACAGACTAGTCTAAAAAATTCCTACCTGAGGGAGGTAATCCCTTAAATTACTTATCTTTCAATCAACAAAAGCCTGATTGAGTTCAGTTCAATAGTTCCATTTGAGAGGTATGTAAGGACAGGTATTAGCTTGCAAATGACGGAAAGCAAAAGAAGTGATTAAGGAGAAAAAAAAAAAGTAGCAGATACATTTTTGAATTTTAGAACGAATTTGCCAAGTATCTCTAAATTTCTGTTTGGTTTTTTTAGCTTATTCGGAGAGTTTTCCCAGATCTGGGGACAAGAAGGTTGGGCACAAGAGGGAATACCAGGTATTGGTTTTGCTTCTTTTGTTTAAAAATGTTATTTACAATTGTTTTAATAAAATTTCAAAATGGACAAATTTGCAGCTCCAGTGCTGCAATACAGCAGCTGAATTGTTGGTTGCAAGTCCGTAATACATCGCAAGATCCAGTGATTCGTGGTGTCACCAAGTGCATTAAAATAGAGTTAATTCCACAAAACCCACAACATCAGAACTGCTTTGGTAGGGCATGAATTCCAGATCAGACTGTTTTCTAAACAATTAGTGCTCTGATTTGTACTGGCTGTTACAGTATGGCATGCATGAGGCATTTGCCAGACATCACAACCTTACTCAGAGCTCTTGAGACACAGGGTCAGAAAAGCCTGGCTCTGGGATGCACGGGGGTGGCAGCCGTGATTAATGTCTGTGCTTGTGCTTTTCAACCTCACACATATCTGTGGAGTGACCCAGCATGTATTGGAGGTTGTAAACAGTTTAAAACCTTTCAAATCAGACCACCTTAGGTCCTCCTCCTACACATCCTTTCTTTCCTCTTCCCTCTCTTCTTCTAAGCATGGAGGGTTTGATACTCTTTTATCGATTCAATGTCAAAACTTGTAAACACACTCTGAACATCCAGACTGGAAAAAGGGATGTTTTAAGGGCATTGAGACACAGTAATTTTACAAGCATTTTGAGTAGCTGTCAAGTACTGGCTTTGAGAAAGACATGCCCTTACTTGATCTGCAATTTTTCTCCACTAGTCTAGATTTGCTCTCAGTTTGATCTAGCAAGGTCCTTTATTCTGTGAGTGCCTCACCGCAGACACTCCCAGGCTTCTCCTCATAGCTGGCAGGCTTTGGGATGGTGCGTGACAGCCCCCAGCCTCCATGCTCTCTCTTCCCATCAGCAGAAGGTTGCCTGCTGCTGGCTCCTGGTGGCCCAAAATTACTGCCCTGCTGCCCTGGCTTCCCAGTGGCCCAGCCTGAGGAGAGCCAGCTGGTAGCACCTTGATAGCAGGGATGGCCATTCTGCTGCTCATCAAGGTCAGGAGAAACCTTAGAGAATGTCTGGCAGGTTTCTTGGGTTTTAGCTTGCTATGGCACCCTATGGGCCACTCAGTCCCTGAGCTACTGTGAATGGCTGCGGAACTGCACTGAGTCCTTCAGCTTCTGTGGGGATACGGGGACCTCTGTCACCTGAGACTCTGGTGTCTGACTTCCCTAACTGTCCTGTAGAAGTCTCTTGCGTCCCATTCACTGGCTTTTCATTTAGAAGAAGGTATCATTCCAGGTCAAAAACTGTTAAAAAGAGTTTGTAAAGAGTTTGTGCAATTGTCTTCTGTGGAGGAAAATGAATTTTCAACAGAATATAAAAACAAATGTACCTTTTTTTACTTGGTCTTTTCTTCTTTAAATAGAATGATCATCTGCTTTCAAAGGAGGAATGCAAATTATTTGCTGCCTTGTTGAAAATCATATGGTTGTCCGTTAATTTTTTTAAAATTTATTTTCTAGGTATCATTATGATGGAATAGCTATGAAGTCAACCTCTTCCTTTTATGCACGTTATTGCTCTCTTCTGTCTGAAGAGAATTATCACAGGTTAGATTTTTAAAAATGTTTTAAACATAAAATGCCACATGTCAGTCTATATATTATCTGTATTGAAAAGTCTGTAAATCATCTGTTGAACACTGACAAAGGTATTATATTTTTCTTCTTATTATACACACTAGAGAAGTGCTGTGCCATTAAGTGCTGTTCTCTAACAGAGAAGCTCCATTTTGAACACATGCCCTGCCTAATGGGACTTCCTTGGATTAGACATTTTAGCCATGTAGATCTTAAGAGCAGGAACTCGTGCCAAACCTAAAATAAGAGCTTAATATATTGAGACTCTACAATGGGAGCTTAAATAAACTTATTGAAATCGCTTCATGACATTGTACCGCTTTCCTTACGTGCACCGAAGTATAAATGACCATACTGTTCTGAAGAGTCCTACGTGCAATCATGTTATCTGGGGTTTTTTTACAACTTGAAACAATGAGGCTTATTACTTTGAAAATACTTCCATCACTTTGTTTTAAAGTTTCAGATTTTAAAATCACCTCCAGTAAGGGAACAACAATGAGAAAATGTATAAGGCGAGTATAAACTGGTTGCAAATATTAAAAGTCTAAGAATAATTGATCAATGTAAGATACTTTGGCAGACTAGAGTGTAGACATGACCATTCTCCAGTTGTGGGCAGATGAGGAAGCATTCCCACGGTTAAGCTCGTGGTTGAGATAAACAAACCACAGGCTTGCATTTCTCCCCAGAAAAAAACTATGGGAAATGCTGCCATTGTGTAGTGGTTTTACACTCCTTTCAAATGAACAGGAGAAAAAAACTAGGTGCAGCCTATGCCTTGGATTTTGGAGACCAGGCTTATATCCTCACTCCCTACCAGACTTGCACATTACTTTAATGTATATATGGATAAATTTTGTACCTTGGTTTCCATTCTTTAACATGGAGATACAGCATTTTTTCTAAAGCATGAATGTCTGAGGCCTACAAATCAACCCAGATATTCTGGTGACAATGCAACTGTTCCAGTGTCTGTGATTTTTACATTATAGTTACTTAACTAAGTGCATGCTCTGCAAGAGCGTGGAAGAATTACACCCATAGGTTTGTTGCCTTTCTCCATGGGTTTTATACCAGAGTAATGGTGCAGAAGTCCATAGAGTGACAATGGTAAAGAATGGGACAGGGCAGAAATCAGGTTCTGCAGATGATCAAGTGGCAATGGGTTATTGTGAGACCAAAGAAATTATTCATAGGCAACTTGAAGCTCGTTTCTCATGAGACCCTTACTGAAGTGATAGCCCTTGCTACCCATGCACCCAGGATAGTGAGAACGGGCCTAAGATTTGACATCTGTAACAAGGAAAGGTCTTGGCCCCTGTTCAAGGAACACTGCAGGTCTCTGGTTAAGTCTCTGCTGGCCTTTCTTCTTGAAAACAGCAATCTTGCTAGGCAGAGTAGGAGAGCTGCTAGTGCTGGTCGTAGAAGAGATGAGAGAGAGAACAGAAGAATTTGAATTGTTGCTTTTTTTCCTCCCAGCCTAGAAACATGAGGAAAAATTACAAAAAGTAGGAGGAACCAAAGAAGTGGTGTTGGCTAACCCCAGGCCAGGTGCAGAAACAAGGATCTTAGCCACTGATGGGAACCAGAAGCATCACGTATGCCAGCAGAGCCTGTGTCCTTGGCCCTCCTCATGGAAACGAGCCATCCTTCCCTGATCGGCTGGGGAACACACTATAGACCATGCTTAACTGTAGGGCAGCCAGCTCTAGAGGTGCCTGCCTGGGCATCTGCTCCTAAAAAAATGTATTTCATTTGGTCAAACCAAGGAAAAGGAAGTTGACATAACCTGTCATCTAGTGATCTTGATATAGTTTCTTGGGATAACTTTTCAGATTTGGAAAAAAAATATATATAAAGAATGTATTCAGACAAAACCCATCTTCCTAGTTGCAACAGAAAAGTCTCTTGACTACAAAATTACCTCATCTGACACTTGCTTCATTGAAGACAGTTATAAGAAGTCACTAAGCTGGTGTGTGAAGCCAGACAGCTGAAAGTAGAACAGCTTCCACTCTAAATGCAGCCACATGTCCGTATCCTGAGCCAACGTGCACACCCACAACACCTGGGTAGCCACGTGTCACAATTACTTCTTGTGTCTCTTAAAGGACAGTGGGGGAAAAAAGGAGAGAAAGCAGTAAAAAAGCACAAAAAGCAGCCAGAGATGCATGAATAGCATGATTAAAAAAAAAAAAAAAATAGGCCACATACAAAATAAGCAGCAGCTTCAACCAAATAAGTGAGTTTCTTTCCATCTGTATTGAGTTTTGTACCTTCTTTGCAAATAAACAGGAACACATCAAGGAAATACTTCTTCTTTACTGTCCTCTCAGTAAAGGTCAGTACTTTTTGAAATCAGAATTAATTTTTCATGATCCAATGAAGTTGATAAAACCATCAATGGCAAATTCTGGATTATTTTAATTAGAAAACTGAAATTTAGAAAAAGAGTAATGAAAACTTGATGACTTTTCTACCTGCAATAACTATTGTTCCCTCCCAGGCCTGAAGAGTCCAAAAGGCAGATGCTTTTTCTGTTGCATTTGCCTGAAGGGAAGCTGGAGCTCGGAAACCAGTTGAGAGACGAAGGCATCCACCCAGCCTGTGGGCTGGTGAAGAAAGGGATAGTTTCAAAACTATGATCCACTGTCTCTAATTACGGAAAAGTAATTTCTTGGCCATATTGAGATAGTCAGCAATTGATATGGTGCTGGTAGTGAGGAACTGGGCCTGTGAAGGGTATGGCAGGTTGGGAGCTTTGCTTGTTGGTGTCATAGAAATGGCAGTATGATTATAATGGTTTGCCTTTGACTCCAAAGAAGGCATTTGCTGTCTGATAGTCAGCAGGGCCTCGGATGTGTTGGTTGGCTGGGTTAGAAGGTGTTCACACGAGGACTGATGAGGATGCTCTTACACAGTACCTGTGAGTTGGTTCGGTTAGAGATCTTGTATTTTTTTTTACATGTGTGTACCACAGCTCTAATGATGATGTTATGAAAGCAGTGTAAATAAACACAGCTGTACCCAATGAGGTCTCCAAATGTATTATGGAGATTTGAGGGAATATGGTATTTACTGATTTGCCTTACAATAAGGTGCCCTCTAGGAAGGGGAGCTTTGAGTACCTAAAATGGTACTTGCTCTGTCAGATTAAGGAGGCTTGAAGTATGGCAGTGTTAAAAAATGCCAGTGAATTTTAGCTTCATAGGAGTTACTTTATGATTCTAGTAATAGGGAAAGTTTGGGCTTCTGACTTTCTAGTGAAGCAAACCCATGACTTTTTAATAAAAAAAAATCTGATATGATTCCAGCAAATTAGCTTTTCTAATCTCAGTGTAGTCAACAGCACACACATTCACCACCCTCCCTTTTTTCATTTTCCCTTTGTCCTTCCCATTCACCTCCTCTGTTAGTTTTTTCATGATCCCCACCACTGTATTTCCCATTTTAGTTCTAGTTCCCACCGCACAGCATCATCCAAACTCTACAAGAGACATGGTGAAACTCCTTGTGATTTTGCTGTCACCCATTTTCCCCTTCTCCCACCCACCTCCTGTTTTGTGTGTCCTGTCTTTCCCCAGGCACCACTCTCCAGAGGAAGCGAGCAGCTCTGCCTGTCAACCCAGCACCTCTGCGGGCACCAGGTGAGTCCGAACCCCCTTTGCTAACAGCAGGATGTTAGCTTTCTGTAGGTATTTGCACTTAATTGTCACTGAGCTCCCATCTGGCTCCTGGGGTATTGGGGGTGCCAGGCAGCACCCCTTCTCGCACCTTGGCATCCCCACATGGGGGGAGCAGGGAGCCAGCTCACTGGAGGAGAGAGATGCTGATCCGTGTTGCCATAGCAGCAGCACCAGAAGATACAGCTGGCCGCCTTCTCAGGGAGAGCAGGAGCTGGAAAATATTCATTAATTTTGTTTCACAGGCTTTAGAATTCTGCAGGAAGGACCCATTTTGAAAGAAGCATTATGAAACGTCTCACACATTCTTCCCTTTGTCCAGCCACCAATTCTAATATGTCTGGGAGAAAGAGTTGATAGTGTTACCAAACACACCCAACATGAATGTTGTGCCCTGTCTTGAGCAGACAGTTTGGTTGTTTGGCTGGAGCACCACCTTCATAGCGGAGTGTAGTGGCAGAGGGAAAGGTAATTTTTCAAGGTGGCAAGGGTCAGTCCTGTGAGAAGCATGAGGAAGCATTTTCAGCAGTCTGAGTTTCCAAGCAGATAAGCTGCTATGTTTTCTCTTCCGCTCCTTCAGGATATATGGTGGTACCCTGGCTTATAACACACCACAGCAGTCAAACCCGGCAGTCAGGATCTGATTAGATAGCCTGAGTGTTGGCAGTCACCAGTGGAAACACATTTTCTACAAAGCCCCTGCCTGTCACCCTTCAAAATAGCTGAGTCCAAAAGGACCCTGGAGTTTGAAATGCCTTCACAGACAGTGAGCAGGTGTCGGCAGCAGATGGGGGCTTGACTGGAGGAATCCAACTCTCACAGCACGTCCCTTTCCTAGCAACATCGCTTCTCCCTCCTGTAGGATTAGCCTCAGCAAAACAGGCAGGGAGAGAGGTAGGAGGTGGTAAAGCAAGAAAACTGCTTCCTGTGCCTGCCTTTCTGGCTTTCCAGCCAAAAGCCAGTGGTCAAGCCTCTTCACGTCCAGGTGAATTCTGACCATGTGGCACATCACGGCAGGCTTGCAAAGTAAATGGGGGACAATGGTAAAAATCAAAAAAAGAAAGAGCAATGTAAACTGATGCAGGGTGCATAAAATGGAATCACTATAAAATCAAAGCACAAGGATGATTATACTTTCATTATTTGCATGTTTATAGTTATTATTATCATTCCAAATGAGCTGCAACTACAAATACAAACCATGATTTTGGTGAAAGAAGTTGGAAGACATTGCACTGTTAAATGGCTAATAACCTTGCTGTCTTTATAATGAATGGTTCAGTTTTACCTTAAAATGCAGATGTCAGACTCCTTAGAAAATCATGGGGTGCTGAATGACAGGAAAGATGGGGGGCGGGTTGTTTCCCAAACACAATGCTCCACCCTCATGCACTCCATCCAGGCTGAGCTCATTTTCTTACTAAATACAGAATAAATTGGTGGGCTTTTTTAACGGTTTGGGGTTTTTTTTGTTTTTCTGTTGTATGTTTTACCACAGTGGGAATGCCTGCAGTTCTGGAGGTGCAGCTGGTTACAACAGCAATAGCCAAAACCAAAGAACCGTGAGTTTCAGAAACATTAGACTTTTAAGAAAATATCTGTCTGTGTGTTTAATTAGAACTGCTATAGAATATGTTCTGATGAAACACAGTTAACCCATCATCTTCTTCAAAATAGTGATTGCCTGCATAATCTCACTAAATGCTTACTTCCCCCACTCCTGTTTCACCTGGTAGCTAACTGTTTTCATTGCCTTAACATCGGCTCAAATAATTTTATCTTTACTGGGAGGGGAAATTGTGGCTGTCAGCTCAGGTTCTGAATATTAGGGGAGTTAGTGGAGCACAGCCTTCCTTGTCTGAGGCCCACGGTAGCAGACCTTCATGCTGCTTAGCAATGCCGAGCTGCCTTTTCAATGCACTCAGAGTTTATTTGCACGATAAGTATTTAAATACTGTGAAATTATTAAGAAAAAGGAGCGCAACCCCTCCTCACCGAAAAGGGCAGATGCAGGGCTACCCTGTGGCAGCTCTCCCATACGTGTGCTGTCATGGGATGGCTTCACACCAGGGTTGTTGGAAGTCAGCCAGCAGAACATGAGCAACAAACTTCTGTGGGCCAAAGTGACAAAAAAAAAGGAGAGACTAGATGCCTGTCTTATTTTTATGGAGCACTCGAGTGCAGTAATGAGTGCTCTGAAGTGAATGTAATGACAGCTGATGAGAAATGTGCTGTCACCCTGACAGCAGAGCCAACTATCTGGAGCCTTATTGAGAAGGTTACAACTGTGACATGAGTGCTATAGAAAATATATGTGGAAGATATGTATAGCTTTAAAAATTCACTGCTTTTGAAAAGAAATTAATGTACTGTTTAGGATTTAAATATTTAGTCAGCTATGCTTGTTTCTTTCATCCACCCTTACTTTCTGAAAGAAAGGTCAAGCATTCCTCTGAAGAAATACATTTTATTAAAAAATTATGTTATACAATTTCAAGAAAGTACTTAATACCTTTAACAGAATAGAAGATAATTGTGATTTTTTTTTTTTATTGTTCAAATAAATTCTGATTAATCAAGAGCAAGAATTTGCGCTGTTCTCCACCTGTCATTTATCTGAAGACTCAAATGGAGAGATTTCAGTACCCTTGGCCTACATTCAGCAGATTCTATCTTTGGGAGCAAGAGCTAGCAAAGAAATACCCCTACGAAATGGTATGTTCAAGTATTTGGTCAGCAAACAAGTTAGCTCTTTGCCTGTGTGATCTCTTTGTACCCTCTTTTTGGTCACCTTCTCCAGGTTCTACTGCTTGCCGATGAGTACTATAGCCATTGTCGAGATATTTTACATATGGTGAGAAGGCACGAGCTTGACGAGGTATGCCTTTGCTTTATATAACACTCATTCTGATGACAGCAAAGAACTCCAAGGATAAAATTGTTTCTGTGTACCTTATTTACTTGATGGTTTGATCTAAGGTAGAGGATCACTTATAGACAAAAGTAGCATTCGGTCAAATTACTCATGAATACTTAATTAACACAAGATTCTCTGAGAATTTGAGTTTGTAGGCATATCCTGAGCACACCAACAGGTCCCAGCCCAGCACAAAACACAAGGTCATGGATGCATATCTTTCATTATATCCGCATATCAATGGCACAATTCTTTCTCTCCTCTTTCTGACACTGCCTTGCAAGGTTCAGCCTGTTGCCCCAGGATGATTCCACTTATGCTGGAGCCTGGCCAGGATGGGGCCAGGCAAAGAACACAGCTCCACAGTCATTCTTTTGCTTCTGTGCTTATGCGTGTTGTTTTACTGAATTATGCTTCACATTTCACAAGTGTAAGATCAGTGAAAATTCATGAAGGACTTTGTGCGACAGGTGGAAAACTGTATCATGTCATTCTGGAGGTCTCTGCAGCCTGAAAGAATAGCACTGATGTCCTTGCCAGATGTATGCCAGCTGTTCAAAAGCTACGATAGGCAGCTATACAAGGTACTGTAGACACACTTGTTTGATGTAATTATGTTATTACGTGTTTGTGTCTTTTTGGTAGTTCTACCTGAGGAGAAGGGCCAGCTGTTTCTTGTGTGCTGTACTGTTTTTTGACTTCTTTGGGATTTTTTAAGGAGCCAATGGAATTTGGGATAACTTTCATTTTGCTGCTATACATTCCTTTGAAAGTCCCTAATATCAATGGAGTATGCTGTTATAATTGTGGTCTGTGGTTCTGGCGTGAGGTTATGTGACTGAAATTTTGACTGATAACTGTTTTCCAAATCATGAGAGTTATTTTTCCTTTGAGAACACTACTGCATTTCTCCGTGACATTCCACATAGAAATATGCAGTTTTCTGCTCAAAATAATTCTCTTCTTATATACAGCAGATCATTAAGTAGCGTCTAGTAATTAATTCAGGAAACGACATTTACTGTTAGGATCTTTTTCCTTCTGCTAATAAATATAGCTTAGCTATTGCTTAATTGGGAGAAAAAACGCGGGCTTCTTTACATTTACATTTCAACTATCGATACAAGTTTGTTTCCTGCTGCTGTAAATATCTGTAGTACACCAGTCATGTGCAGCTCCATGAATTTGTATTCTAGGAAATAGAGACTATCCTATTTTACGATTTCCTGGAGGAGGTGCCTGTGGAACACATGACGTCAATCAGATTGTTCAGTAAAAATGTTGAAGCTTGGCTGCTCAATGCTTTGCAAGAGTTTCCGTTACCGCTAAAAACAGCCAAAACTAATGGTATGTTTGAGTAATAGAGAGATTTCAATAAAATAATCTTTGCTTAAACTGCAGAGAAGATTGCGTTACAAGACTCTTACAGAAATTATTTTAAAAACTTTTTTAGCTGACGTAACTTCGATAGTAGTGAGGTGTAGAGTTAGTTTTGATACAGTTCAAAATAAATAGTCTCAGATAATGTGTGAGAATGAATTTTAATCAAAATTATTCCAAATTCATGGTAAAGTGTACTTGAATCTTTTTAAAGATCTTTCTCTTGCAATAATCGCTTTGGCTGTGTAGATGACTGAATAACATGCAGTCTGCCCTCTGAAATTTAGGTACTGTCTCTTCACCTTGCAAGCGGTTTTATGCAGATAAATTAATAAATGGCTATAGCACAGTTCAAAATAAAGGAAAAAAAAGCCACAGTCCCATAGGGAAACTATGACTCTGTCATTAGAGGAGGATTTGAAAAAATCTGTACTGTACAAAGATGTGTGTATATGTGTGTGTTTGTAAATACGTACCTACATACATACATATATTTATATATGATGCTGAAGATTCTGGCTAAAACATAATGTTGCTCAGTTACTCATTCAGTGAAGACCAACTCCCCAGTGGGAAAGCAGGGCCCCTGTGTAGACAAAAGATTGTATTAGCATTCATATGCTCAAGGAAGTCTTGCAGGCAGTCTTAATTCTGGTACTTCTTACATCTGAATGCTTGACAGTAACATGTTTTTAACATGTGTGTGCATGGAAGTATATGTAATTAACTAGCTGCAGCCCTTTGCATATACATCCTGGTCTTTCTGGTTTGTACGAACTTCAGGGAAACAGAAATTTTCACTTGAAAACCATTGCCTGTCTACAGAAGTTTGTAAGTTGCTTTATACTTGATCTTCCTGTAACTAAGAATCAGTTATTTTATATTTTATTCTTAAAAAGGATATTATTGGACCATGCTTGTCATAGTTGCAACACATTATAAACAGGAGAAAATAGAAGCAAAGAAACCAACTCTATTAACAGTGCTGCAGAATTATTCATGTATAAAGGTGGAAATGTAAACCCTCTAAACAAAATATAGGAGGTTTAGAATTAACGTTGCTTTCATTCATCTTAAACCATACACATTAAAGAGTATTAGTCTTGATTAAGAAGTATTTAATGGAAAAAATATTAGAAGTATTTTTCCTGCGTGTCATGGGTTAACAGATTTGCAGTGAAGGAAAAGTGATGACCTGGGCAGCTTCTGTGTGCTTGCTTTAAACTGCGAGGGTCCCCAGCCCAGCCCATAATGCTGGCTCAGTGTCCTCACTGTTCCCTCTGTTAGCCTGTTGCTCCCCTAGGGATCTACTTTCTAACTCAAAAGATCTGTCTTCTTTAGCATCTTTTAGACTGTAAAATAGTAATGATATGAAACATCCACCTCTTCTTCTTCAACAGAAGTTACAGCGTTTATTGCAAGACTCAGGAGAAAGACAGACCTTTCTAACATGGCCAAGGTATGTTCCAGAATCCATGAAACAAAGAAGCTGGGCATCTCATTCACTCAAGCAGCCCATCTGCAGTTTGGACTATTTCTGAGATGCTCCATTGTAGGACAAGAGGAGCAGCACAGCTGTTCTTATCTGTATACTGACCATGGTCCAAATAATGCTCACCCTCCTGTCCATCTCTTCCCACACCGTAAGTATGCTGAGGAGCCCCTTTCCTCCCTCTGGGTTCTCTGAAATATATCTCTGAGATATAGTCAATGGAGAGGAGAACATCACAGCAGCTGGAAAGGTTAGATGACAGTTTCCAGTCTCTTTTCCCAGCCATGCAAAAGCCAGTCAGATAGCACATGCTGGGTTATTCTAAAACTGGTTTTACACAGTGCCCTGACCACTCTCTCTGAGGAGTGCTACAGCAGCCTGCACAAGGGCAATCACCCATATGACGGCTGCAGAGAAGCCGCGTGGTCGGGGAGCAGGCCATGAAGTCTTCGAGGGTACAAGACCCTCACCTTTTTCATGGATCCCAGGGAGTCAGCTGGAAAAATGTTCTCCATACTCTGACCAGACAGTGTTAGAAGGAGTGCTGCAGGGAAGTTTCCTCTGAACTGTCCTCAGGGTCATCTCCCAGATTGTTTTTTTTCCTTAGGAAGAAAGAGACAAAAATCTCTCTAACAATTAATATCTCTGCCTGCTTTTTGCTCTACAGTATCACTCTTCTCAGCTACAGAGGTGCATCCAGGAGCTGCATTTTTAACCCTTTGAACACTGCAAAGTAAATTGTTTCATATGGTGGTGCATTATTTATGAGGGGCTGTGCCCTCCCTGCAGTGTTCCTTCCATTGCTGTCCTTGGACACTTCCAAACCCTTGGGGTTTGTGGTGGTCCAGGCCACAACAGAGAGATAGGTCACGAACCGGGAAGAAAGCAGAAGAGAACAGGTGGTATATTTTCTCCTGTCCTTCAAAGAACAAGTACAAGATTTTTCCCAACATGCTGCCTGGCTTAAATCACTACACTGTGTCCCCACAATAAAGGGAAGGAAGGCAGGGAACTGTGGCTTCTTAGACTGCACAGAAGTGTCACTTTCTTCCTTAATAAATGTAGCTTTTCTTTATGGAGGAACGTAATCACCAGCAGCATACAAAACACACACCTCACTTATTTTTAAAAAGTTTTAAAAAATAAAAATATTAAAGCACAAACATGTATAGGTGTGCTAACACAGGCAAAAGGTCAACTTCTGTGGAGTGCTGAACACATGCAGTTCCCATTTACTGCAGCAGCCCTCGGAGATACTAAATACTTGAAAAGCTCAGCTTCATGTGCTCGTAAGCAGTACTCCTTATCCATCGAAGAATGCGATCCAGCAAGACTGCAAGTGCCAGCTATTCCTTGTCATTTGCATTAGATTTGTGTACCCAGACTTCACATCATCCTTCTTGTGCCCGATCCGTGGTGTCAAGGGGCTGGCTGCAGCTTTTTGCTTCTTCCCTGCCTATTGCTAATGTACAGAAAAGCTGCAGAGAATCAACACTGAATTTACACCCTCAAGATTTAGGGCAAGAGAATTTCAGTCTAGCTGGGGCAATTCTCTAGTGGCAGCCTCTGGCTGCTCTACATCCCCTTTATGCTGTTTAACTGGCACAAAGTGAACCTAGCAGACCCGAGAATTGGGGTCAGATCTATGCTTAGAGCTGAGCGCATTCTGAGCCTGATTCTTGTTCATGCTAACGAGCTCTTGGCACTGTTCTCACAAGTAGATGATGTTTGCACCTTCTCTAGAGCCTCTTTAAAATACAAGGGAAAGGCAAAGGAGTTGCAGTGTACCTGATGATGAGTCCCACTGGTAATTTAAAAACAATCGTTTCAATAAGTAAAATTATGTAAGTCTTGTAAATGAGCAACCCAATAGTCTTTCAGCAGCTGTATAGCCTTTATTACAATTTCTGTTAGAGATCTTGCCAAAGCCATGGATACTGGGCTCCAGCAAAAGAGAGTAGGAAACAAATACCAGCTAAACATTCTCCTGCAGACGTATTCCCCTGTCCAATGGACACCAGATTAGTTGAACACCACAGGTGTTTAAAATTTGCAGCTTGTGAGAAACATGCAGATGCTTCATGGGGAGGTGGACGTCCCTCGGAAAGAATTGCTGAGTCTTTTAGTCGGCAAGAATCCATCCTAGGCTTGTGTGGACTGGTATCCCATCTCTCCTGGTGGCCCTCACCAGATGCTCATGTGAAGTAGTTATGAGTAGAGAAGTGATACCTCACTCCTCCAGTGTGCTCTCTTGGTTTCCAGCAATCTGAGATGAAAGTTATATCCACATTTTGGTATTCAATAGCTTGATTTTGGCATCCACAACATCCTGGGGCAGTGAGTTGCAGGGTCTGATTATTTGTTGTGTGAAAAAGTACTTTATTTTTCTTTAACCTTTAAAATTTCCATCCTTCTTCATGAAATTCTCCCTGCAAATCTCCATCACATCTTTCCTCAGCCATTTCTATCCAAAGCTGAAGTTAATCTCATCATCCTTTGCAGTCTTCTCTGTCTAAAATGCACCTTGAATTTCAACTAGAGACTGATGGCCAAAGCAGGTGAGAGTGATCCTAATGAGAAGTACCACCAAGGAGCTCTGCAGCTGCAGTCTCCAAATGGTGTAACCACACCCTCTCTTGGAGAGTACTGCGCAATAATTTAGCCACATGGTGATAAAATAGGAACTATTTTGGCAGGGTCAGCATTCGAAAGGAAAAAAAAAGTAACTTACCCATCATGTGTAGATAAGGCAGGCTGACAGCTGCTGCTACCTGGACATGCAGAAATAATTAGAGCAAATTAAAGCATAAAAAGGTGTAAATTCCCTGCGAGAAAGGAATGTGAATATGCTGCTTGTCATTTCTTGAGGCTGATTCCTGCCTCTGGTAAACTGTATTTAAGTGTTGTCAGAGGTGGCTCTTAGTCATTTAGAGAATTATACTTAGTATAGTGAAGTGTAATAGCTAAAGGGATCAGTTTAAAACACCGGGCCATGGAGTCAGGTGCTAGCAGCGTACTGCCCCTGGTAGTTCCCAGCCTTTAGGTCATGTGTTCTTGTTGTAAGCAGCAGCTCTTCTGACACTGGAAACTCCAAGTAAAATAAGGAAAGAGACTTCATCTTTAACTTAGCCGAAAAGGATTACTGAGTGTGAATCAGAGTGCTTTTGGTATTTCAGTAAAGCTAGCAGAATGATGAAAAAGAAAAATAGCCAGATTGGGAATTACGTTTGCAAACAAATGGGCTGCCGCATTCACTGCTGCTTGTGGGGTCATGGTAAGCACCTGGTGAGTGTGATTTTTTAAAAATGTTTATGAATCCTGAAGTTTTTCTGAACTTTACAAGAAATATTTCTCCCCTGGAAGGCCAAACTGGACATGGATTACTCATATAAAAGCCCAAAACTCAACAAAGACTTTAGGATCTTATTGATTTCAATATGGAAGCAAGAGACAAAATGTACGGATTAACAAATCTTAATGGATCAGGTTTAATTTCCTTCATTGTTTTCATCATTTAATCCAGAATCTGAAGCAATAAGTTTTGACATTAGCAAATATATAAACAAAAAGTGAAGAGATGAGGATCAAATGTCAAGTTGAAATTGTTTACAATATCTGTGCAAGTAACACTTTTGAGGACAAATATGAAGCCAGATTCATTCACAAATGACTCATAAACAGATAAATGGGATAAAATCACAACTAATTTTATTCTCACTAACACCATATTTCTAATGTTGTTTTTACCCTCTCAAAGGTTTGGGCAACATGAAAAAACTTGTCTTCGAATTTAATTGAAACATGTACTAAGGACAGGTAACATCGAGTGAAATTCAGCACTGATACACCACTCCATGTTCTAGACAAAATACTGTTATTTGACATAACTATAATAACTCTAGGCAAAACCAATTGCCCAGGCAATTGCCCAGATACTTCAAGCATGTTAGCCTTGTCTGCTCCATCACAGACAACAACACAGAGTGTCATTGAAAAGAATATCTTCCAGAAGAAAAAGCTTTTGAAGACAACTTAAGATCCATCTCCTTTGACTCCCCCCCGCCCCAGTTTGGAGACTGGTTATATAAAGTCTAGTATTGAATAAGGGAAGCTTTTTGACTGAGTTAAGGGCTTGAGAAAATGAAAGGCATTAACTGTTTTCTTATTCTCTATAGACAATGAGAAAAGTCTTGAACAGCGAGAGCAAAGTCACTGTTCTGCAATCAGACTTGCGTGCGGTCATCAATCAGGGATTTCTGGATGTGCCTGGAAACCTCCTTCAAAAGTTTAGGGATCCGGAGGAGTTGCAGAACGACATAGAATTCAAATGTAATTTTTTTTTTTTTTTGCTATATTTTGTCTATCCACTTAAGCCCTTGCTTGCCATTGTTAAAGCTCCAGTGTTTCCTCTTGTTTATTCATGGAATCTTCCCTAATGGGAATTAGAGTCTTGCTGTGACCTGAAGTACTGGAAAAGAACCAAGAAAATTGAGAATGGAACATGTAATATCCTTTTGACTTTAAAAAGAATGAAAGGCTTTCCATTCTGACTCTCTCTTAAAGCTTTCTATGGCAGTAGGAGTGGGGTTTGTGTTACTAAATGATGTACCTTCTAGAAGAAGGTTGACAAACAGGGATATTAATTTTTTATAATTTTCTTTGACAAAAAAAAGGAGTTTCCAAGAGTTGCATTTCACATTGTCCTCTATTATTAATAGAAGTACACAAAATCTTTTCTTGTGGCCAGATTTTAAAATATTGTATGCTGAACTGGACAAGGACTACTGGCCTTTGAGCTTTTGTGTCCTTTCACTGTATTGCAGCCTGTGGAATAGATGTGTTGCTGTGAACAACAAAATGCCAAGTTTGTATGCAGCCATGACATAATGCATTTGCCAACTTAATGAAAAGGGATGGGAACATAATGGCAAGTTAATTTTTAGATTAATGGGCTGCCATATAAATTATTAGCAAGAGACAGGCAAGTTGAACAAGGCTGTGCACAGAACTGACGGGGGGAAACATCAGCTGTTTGTTCCCGGCCCATCACCGACTCACTCATTGACAAAGGATGCGCCAGAACCTTTCCATTACTGCTTTTAGTGGGAATAATAATTTGCCTTCTTCATGGAACCATTGGGAGAACCATTTAAATAATATTTATATACAGCTTAACATCAAAAATGCTGCTCAGAACGCTTTTATGACATTTTCTCATTACATTAATGATAATCGTATTCTTACAAGGGGTATTTATTGCATTCACTGTTTTTGTTGCTTTTCCAAACTGTTACTTATAATGAGCAAGGTTTCACAGACCCTATCCATATGCCTTCTTGAAGGAAGACATCTCAGTTAGAAGGGTGTAAATTCAGAGAGGTGCAATAGTGTTGTACCATCTGGCTTTTGGGGAACAGCTGCATTGGTATCTGGCAATATAATTTGTATTTCTGAGGGTCTACAGAATATTCTGTATTTTCTTGTTTTAAAACTGTTTTCTCCCCTTCAACAGATAAAACAAGATGTTTTTTTCTCAAACACATAAAATCTCTGATAAGTAAATTGTTATTGCATATAACCAAATTCAAGCTTTTGCATTTGACATGTTTATTCTTGCCATGATGACTAGGCCAGTGTAGATGTGGTGGAAATGGACATAAATATGAATTCTGACTGATTTCAAAGTAGAGTACTACTCCTCAGTAAAGGAATAGCATGATTAGATTAATCATAATGCTAAAAATAGATGTCTTCATATATTTTAAGCTAAAGATAGAAGAAAAATAAAAGCTAAAAACAGAAGAAACAAACCAAAAAGCAAACCAATCACTGCAAATAATGATTTCCCTTCTATATTTCATAGGTTTGAATGACTTAATGGCTTTGCTGGCACCTTGCACAGATATCCGGGTTCTCCTGAACTGTGTGTCTTCAAATCTTCAGGCTTTTGTCATTCAGGTATAAAATTAATTTAATAATTTCAGAAAAGAAAGAGTGATCACATCATTTATCCTGCTACATGCCAACTGCCACTAGTCTGCAGGAGCTACACTGTACACTAGCAACCTGACCAGACTGCAGATTTGCATAAATACAATTTATGCATGCTGCAGAAAAGGGGGGAATTAATTGGCAAACAAAAATTCCATCTGTGCAAACAACTACGAGCATATTTCTGCACATATATCCACTCGGGTGGTTTCAGTATCTGCTCTCATTTCATAGACACATATTGTAACAGTCCCTAATAAACCAAAATTCATAAGAAAAATGTTAGTAAAAATGAAGAGAACACTTAATGATTCCTGAAATCATTGATTAATGAAACTGTTAGCTTTTAGCAGGTGGTAGGAGAGGGATAATTTCTAGTACAATGTCTATAGCTCTTGTGAAAGATTCAAATATGATCATCCTCGCGTATGCCCCTTTCCATAGGTTACCAGCTCTACCACACCTGTTCCATCACTGATTGGGAATTAGCAGTAGCTCAGTGGGTCCATGTATTCGGTTGGTTGCCAGACCAATTAATTTGAGTCTGGGCACTGGTTAGAGGTTTTTCTTTTCCCTTTCTGAAGAAGCAGGGTAAACTGTACTTCTTTATCTTGATAATTTGTTTTTTTTTTTTTTTTTTTTAAATTAAGAATAGTACTTTGCAGTTCTGTGGTGCCTTCATCTCACAGAACCCTCAGCTACCACGCAGGATGGTATAGAGAAGATAGAGCAGGGACTTTTCCTGGGGGTTCATAGTTACAGGGCATAAGGCAATAGACACAAGTTGCAGCAAAGAAGATTTCCAAAAGATAAAACAAACAAACAAAAAAAATTACCATGAGAGTAGTTAAGCATGGGAAGAGGTTACTTGGAAAGGCTGTGGAATCTCCATCCTGGAGGTAGTCAGAACTCGGCTGGACAAGGTCTGAACTATGCTGGCCGTGTTTTAGACAAGAGGTTGGATTAGATGATATCCAAAGATCCCTTTCAACCTAAGCTATTTTAGGATTCTATCAAAAAACTGCTTGTGCCACCTTTGTAAGCAATTTTTTTTCTCTGTCTGCAGCCAAGCAGGAGTAAAGAGGAGTTTAAAAACCTGGCATCGGATTTCCAGTTGAAATGGAGCTTCCTACTGAATGCAGTAGGCAAGGCTATGACGCTCAACTATGCAGAGAGTTTTGGTAAGCAGGATCTTTCTGACTCTCGTCTGATACGCCCCTCTGTGCTGTGAGACAGCAGAGGCACCAGATCATTTTAACTGACATGAATTCATGCTACAGTCAATAGGAGCACCACTTCTTCCTACTATCTTCCTTCCATCAAGCAGTTCCATTCACCTGGTGACATGGCTAGCCCGGACAGGGAAATTAAACAATTAGTTTTCGGCCAGATTAGTTCTCTGAGACAAACTCTAGGATGAGCAGAAGGGAGGAAAGTAGAAGCATGCATCTGGAGCTGGTGGGAAGGGTAGGACTCCCTCTTTTGGCAGAAACCATAATTTGTCTGTGGAAATATGGGGATCAGCAGCCTGAGGTGTGAGCCTCTGCGCCCCCTCCCTACAAGAGCTGCACATCCCAGCAGAAGGGTGTGATGGAGAGCTGGGGACACTAATACCCCAAACCATAAAAATTCCTATATTCACTATTCAAGTGATAGCTCCCAGTCCTTCAGGTTCTTTCTGAAGGCTCAGCCAGAGCAGAGCCACTGCGGTAACTACTTACCAAAATGGCAGTTAGTTCCTCTAACAACAGATACGTGCTCCTTCCTTTTCCTTATGCCTTACACTGACATAAGTGCTTGCCTAGCCAGCAGCAAGCCTATTTAAGGTGTTAAACTGACTGAAACATAGTCACTCCTTTAGCTGCGTCAGGTTTCTCTCAGTTTCTGGGCTCTGAGCTGTCAAGCATCAAACCCATCCCACAGCAGTGCAAGAAAGGGAAGAAAAGGGACTGTGCAGTCACGTTCCCTCAAAGTGGCTTGAAGTGGTACAAGCACATCTTGAATCAGTTCAGTCTGTGTCTGCCAATTCTATATTGCGTCAACCTTACCTGCCTTTCTCTTCATTTGTAAGACCTTTCAGAGGCTCGCTCTCTGTTGTTCATTCTGCAGAAACGCACCGTCTCCTGTGAGTAGCATCTGATCCCAAATTGCATGAACCACTCTTTAGATTTTCAAAGGAGCACCTTCATATTTTCTCCTGCTCTGTTGGATGGGGCTTCACAAAAGTAGCCAAAGAAAACCTCGTTATCCTCTTTGAAATTCTCCTTCAAAACCATACTTTCATGTGTTTCCTAGAAAGATGTAACAAAGGGGTATGTTAAGGTCGTTGCCTTTTGTGTTCTTCAGTACTCTTCCCTCATTAATGTCTGTGTTTGTGCATGTATGCATGTACCCATTTTCTGCATCTAGCTGCTACTTTTTGCCTTATATTTAGATAGCAAACTCTCTGGAGCGGGATCAGTTTTGTTCTGTGTCTGCAGGGGACATAGCACAGTAGGGTCCCTGGTCCATGAGCTGCTGCATTCCAGCAATATTAAACTAATCATTCCCTTCTCTCTCTCCAGAGGAGTGCTGCACAAAACTCTCCAACATTAGATGCAGTATTTTGGGCAATGAGGAAATTGGGAATGAATTCCAAGAACAGTACTGGAAGCATAATGTTTATTGGAATTCCTCACAGTGATGAAATCCTCTTCCCACTTTCCACCACAAGAAGAGTTTAATGAGTTGCCTCCCTGTTCTGAAGCTATCGGTGGCTGGGGACACAACTGATGGAGAGCATCCCTTCCTCTGCTGAGCCTTCCTTAAACTAGTTACAAATGATATTTTTTCAACCCACTTATGACAGTCTTCCTGCTATACTTCAGTAGCACTAAGACTGAATTTATTCTCATATATGAGAGTGTGAAAAAATGTCTTTTAATCTTCCTCTGTGATGCTCCAGTTAATTTGATCATTATTATATTTTTCTTAATACCTTTGGTTCTTTAAGATGTTGGGCTATATGACTTAACAACGTCACTTCTTTCCCATGTTTCTATTCCAGTAGGATTTCGAGTTTTAGTGGACAAGGCTGATGCCATCACGTTAACAAGTCATCTGGTGTAAAAGTTCTATACTCAGGGTCATTGCTTTTCAGAAATTTCTTCAGCATTTCTTGCAGGAATGGTGGGCAGCCTGCAAGTTGAAATAGGAGCATCCACACCGAGGACACACAATGAATTAGGGAAATGTGTGAGTGTCCTGTTAATGTGGTATGCCTCCTGCCAAAATAAACCATGTACCAGTAATGAAAACCAAGCTTACTTCTGTCTGGGGCTCTTGCTTGGAGCTTGGTACTTCTGGTGCACATAATATGCTGTCATACTCACATGTCTGAATTTAGGATTGACTTTTACCCTTCTCCAGCCCAGCCTCCCCATAGGTGATGCCCAAGTGTGACCAGAGGAACCGAGCAGGTCCCCCCGCTGTAAGGCAGCAAGGAGAAAGTGTGCTACAGCACTCAGGGCTAGTGGGACCTCTACAGCTCTTTCAGCTCCACCTCCTCTCCAGCAAAGGTGCCTCTACGAATCTCCATCACAGAGCCTCATGCCAGCTGGTGCACCTCCATTTCCTTTATTGGTCTCTCTTCTGTGGTATTCAGGGATGTATGGCTGAGCCTTGCTGCTTGGACAGTGACCTGTGCATTCCTCTTGTGAAAGCAAGCTGCTTCAACCTACTCCTTCTTCAAAACTGTGTCGCTCTGTATTATCCCAAGGGACAACTGGAGTGGTAGCTTTTATTTCATGGTTACTCTTATTGAATATATTGAAAACACCTGTAGGACTGTTAGAAACACTCATGGACTACTACTGTCAGGTCTGTGTAGTTTGAACTCCAAGTATAGAAGTCCCTTTCCTTGTTCTATAGATAAACAACTCCTTCCACTTACTTTGCTATCATGTAAAGATATGCAAAAGAACAGCAGAAGCATCAACTTCTCAGACACATATAAAATCAAAAGAGGCAGTATTTTTCATTTTTAAAGCTCTGTAAACCTTGATCATTCATATGAATTGCGGTATCTCCTTGTCGATGTCCATGTAAACACTTTTGTGGGATGCAGAGGTTATGAATTGCTTGATGAATTCCTATACAGATTTATGGCATGGAAGAAGACCTACTCTTTACTGTAAGGGCTTTCAACCAAGGTATGATTCAAAGGTCAATGGCCTCAGTGAGTCTCTCTTGGCTTTCAGCAGTTATGCACCAAGCTGCAAGGTAGGTCATTTAATGTCATAGATACAAGACATACAGACATCTGTAAGAGGGTTTTCTTGGGAAAAGGTGGAATGACTAATCTGTCCGAGGGGAGAATGGAGATGATATGTGGTTATTGATAAGCCTTGCAAGTAGCAAGTAGCAGTGAATGTGGGGGAAGAAGTTGAACAGGAAAGCCAATAAACACAAGTACACTTTCCTCTCTAGCAAAAATAAGGGGGAAAGGCTTTTGCTTACGTTTCAAATCTGCAGTTGGTGCCTATTTTGCTGTATTTTGGAAGTACATAATTTTGTAAGTACTATTTGATGAATACTAGTCTTCTACTTTGCCTAGCCCATTACTATAATGAAGCCCTTCAAAATAGAACACATTATGAAGGTAAGCAAATGAAGAAATTGTTAAAATTATTTTTGTTTTTCTTTAAACCTAGGGTCCTGGCATTTGCTTAATTTGCTACTCGTGGATTTTGTGACTTACATTTTCCTGTCCTATATGGAGGAGACAGGAGATGAAAGTTTCTGGGCTGCAAAGCAAAATGAGTCCCCTGTTCTGTGCGTTTATGAGCCCAGCTATCTCTGGGGCTGTTTTGTAGAGGGGCAACCTCAAGCCAATGCTCCACAGACAGCTCCCATAACTTTGATGCAGAGCCAGAGCAACTTTGAATTGAGCAACGTTTTTCCAGAGTTCCAAGTTGTTCAGTGGAAACAGCCATAGGCAGCAAGGTGAAATAAATATTAACTTTAAAGAAAAATTTTAAAAAAAATATATATATATAAATTGGGTAAATCGGGAGGGATCGGGAGGGGTGTGGTTGGTTGGGGGGTTTTCTGTGTGTAAAGTTGAACTAATGAAATATAGATTTGCATGGAGCTATGTCCAATGTCACCTAAACCTCAAGCCACAAGCATCCTCCACATCCTACCTCCACCGCACGATCCTATCAAGGGATCGTCATCTCCACACCACCCACCTCCCCATCACCACAGTTCCTTGAGCTTTCCAACAGACCTTCAGTGCTCCTTTGGATTCCCCAAGAGTTGTCTAAGCAAGAGCCGCTCTGTTCTGGTGGGCTGCGAGCTGCTTGTGGGCTAGCTGACCACACAGACTGCATGTATTTATTGATCAAAAGAGAGAGCACATGTTGTGGTCTTTTCTTGCTGTTGGAAGCACTGAGAGGCTCTCTTTCCTCCACACAGCTGTTAATTTTATCAAAACATGCAAAGTATGAAATCCTTGAGACCTTTCTGCTCCAATGGACCTTCTTGCAGTCAGTCCACTGGTTCAAACATGACATACAGGTAGAAAACAAGATAGACTCTAAGTCCTCCTAGGATACAAGGCTAAATGTGAGGACATATGGGAACACAGACCAAGCCTCTGTGGTTAATAAAAGTGATGCATTAGACATTCAGCTGTTTTCAGATTTCTCTTCCGTGTAATAACAGCACTTGTCTTAAATCTCAGAGAACATAGTGTTTTCCAGAAAAATGTGCTGGACAAATGTTAATGGCACCATGACACACAAAGAAAATCACATTTTTGGGGTGATTGTGCTGTAGTGATTTTACTCCCAAGATGTACTGAGTTTCCATAAACTAGGACCAGGACTGGAAATGGACTGTTTTAAAAACATCTTTATTAGTTATAAAGACCCTTGGTGGACCCTTGTTTTTAAATATAAGGTATGCTAAAACTAGCTCAGCAATGAAAATTGGAGGAGAGAAAGAAGACACAAAGGGGAGAAACCAGGAATGATTTATATATGTGATGGGCACGCTTGACAGTTTTTGCTATTTTTCAAATGACCCATCCTGCCATACTACATTAATGACAAAAACCAAAATGAGCTGGGTGTAGGCTACAAGCAAGGAATCTCTAAACCACTGATGGTCAGAAATTAGGAGATAAACCAGTAGAAAGCTTACTCAGTATCTGCCCTGCTTCCTATGTTCTTTCACTGTGCTGCCCATATGGTCTTTTATATGGGCTACTACGCCTACCGCAATGCTCTTGCGTGGGTGACAGCAGACAAGAGTTTGGTCCAGGTTTTTTTTTGTATAAGTGATGTGCCTATAATTACGTTTTGCATGCTTTGTACATGATCTCAAGAACAGAGTAAGGCTGATTAGAGAGAGGGACAAGCAGTGTCAGAGAGGACGGGTATAAAATGCGAAGTAGGGAATAGGATGACTTGAGAGAGGGTATAGAGGGAAGGAGAAAGTGAAGGATTGGGAGAGTGTAGAAAGAGCTTAAAGATCTCAACAGCTAATGTGCAAGATACTGGTAACGCCGAGATGAAAAAGAATCTAGAAAGAGCCTGGTGATACTGTGGTTCAAGTGCTTGCAGTTTGTGAGGGAGCTGAAAAAGTTAAACTGGCAGCTCAAAAGCGTTTCAGGAGCTGTGACAGAGTGAACGAGCACTTGTACCTACTTGTGTCCTTCAGATGGGCGGTGGCACCCACCTCAACCATTGCAGGCTCCTCCTTATTGGGAGTCAGTACTAATTCCACTGGTTGCTGAGAAATACAGCTGCCAAAAGCATCCCCATTGCCCACCACTATGTATTGCTATCTCTGAAGATCCTCTAAATAGATTCCCTTTGCATGAGGATTTGTGTTCTGTGAGTTTTGATCACCAAAAATCACCATCATGCTCCCAAGCAACCATCTGTCCCAGCTCCTGACTAATCCCCCTTCAGCCACAACCCATTCTGCGGGGTATCTAAACCCTCAGCAGCCTTAGCAGCATCCACCAGCCGTGCTGCTGTTTCCTGGACCACACTTCTGCTGCCTGACATATCACTCTGTGCATCACGGGTATATTTAATATTTTTTCCCTTTAACTCCTTTACCTCATGCAGCCTCTGCAGCTCTCCGTGACCCAGTGTCTTTCTTCAGTTCCCTTCCTCCACTCTGTCCTCTGCCAACAACACCAACCTCCGTATCTTTTTCATCTTGTCCCACAAGGCATTTCTATGTCTTCTCTACAGCCTGTTATGCTTGAGAAAAAAATCTGTTCATCGCACCTCCACCCTCATCTCATTGAAATTAGGGCTAAAAACTCAGTTTTGCTGTAAAACCCTGGAAAAAATGAGAAGGAGGACTGTTAACAGAAATCAGAAAAGAATCTCCCAACCATGCCCTGATATCAGCAGCATCAATATGTGTCTGTGGCTTAGCAGATCCCTTCATGATCTTTCAGTTGTCACCTTCGTTCTTCCTTTTCCTCCCCCATCTGTTTTTGGTCCTCCATTCCTACTTCATGCTGAATATAAATCACATTCCTCAGCAGAGAGACCATGTTTTTCCATTTATTTTGAACAGCATAGCACATTTGCAAATCTTTTTTATATAGTTCGAAGCATTAAAATCATTGTTAATAATCTTGAAAGTAGAATACATTCCAAGTTGGTGACATCTCTGGAGGAAAATATTATTTTTATATGAAAAAAATGTAGAGAGTGGGGAGTGAGATAATACAAGATTTAAACACACTGGCTTAGCAGGGAGAGTGGCAGATGAAATGCTGTATAGCCAAATGCACATAGTATGAACTAAGAATTGTTGAAACTGGTGGCAGTAACAAAGATGCTGAGTGAGCTGTAATCTACAAAAGTGCAGCTCAGAGAGCGTTGGGCTGATCTTTATTCCTTATCACAGAGCTTGCAGTTGCTTTCTCTCAGCACGAATAGCATTTTTTCATCTAGAAAATCCCATTCAGGGCTTCCTCTCTTTGTTCACTTGTTACCAAATTAAAATCCCATTAAACTGCACACCTGCAGTGGGTTTATCTGCAGAGCGCTGTGCTGTAGCTTTTAATCCAATTCCACACCTCCGTAACATACAATGTATTGCAAATGAGGGCGCAGAGAGACAGAGCTTATGATGTTCATAGCTCTGTTGGCAGACAGCAAATCAAACACTTTGATTTGTTAAAAAGGGAGAAAAAATACGAGCATAGTTAACTACTTCACTTAAAGGAAAGACGAGTGTTCATCTGAGTGGTCTATATAATGCAGACACAGAGATCAAGTGAAATCACTAAAAAAAATTATCAAAAAATTAGAGTAAAATCTTGACCCAGCTTCAATTCAGTGGCAAAATTTTGGCTAATTTTACAAAAGCCAGGATTTCAGCATGAAGAAGCAGTCCCCATCGGAGTGAGAGGCAGGCTGAGACTGTTTGTTTTGAAAAAGAATAAAAGGGCTTGTAACAGACATATAAAGTGTGCATGATGTATTAAAAAGCGGATGTGGCCTCCCATCAGACTTTTGTCACGCTGTGAGAAAAGCCAATGTGTATCTCCTCTTGTTGGGTTAATTGCTGTAAAATAAGGTTGGGCATTTGGAAAATACCTCAGATTCAGCAGTTTTGAATAGACAATACTTTTTTTATTCAATGAAGGGAGCAACAATGATTTGCAGTCCCTATAGGCAAAATATCGACATTTCTTTTCTAATTTTCAGCTCATCTAGGTCATTTTGGAAGAGAGAAATACTAAAACTTTTACTAAGTTGGATGTTCCAGTCAAAAGGGAAGAAGCACTTCTTACTCAAAAAAGATGGACAGACGTCTTATTTTTGCCCCTGATGAACAGCAAATCTTCAGAGAAAACTGGTCTGACCTGAAAATTCTCTATGCTAGACTATTCTTATCTTTAGTACAACTTTAAGAAATACTGTTTTCAATCTCTTAAATTTAAGATCTTTTTCTGGAAACACTAAATGCAAAACTGTGCTAGGAACACAGTTATTTTAAGTTGTCATGTGATTTGGTGGTTTGACTTTATTTGAATAAATCTTCAGAAGAAAAAGGTGACATATTTTTGGTTTGTTTTTACCTATTTCTTGTATTTTTTTGTCATCAGTAAAGCTCAAGGTCTACCTGAAGTCACTGTGGTAAATTTATCTGGAAGCTACAGAGCAGATGAATGATACTGTATCAATGCTGCTTTGTGTCTACAGTGCGTAATTTACAATTGTTATTTACTGTATATAGAACTTAGCACTAATTCCTAGGTCTTTAAAAATTTCTGCTTTGTTTCCCATTTCTGCACGATACAAGAGTCAATATCTCACATATAGTTCTATTAACTGAAATACAATAGGCTGTATATAACGTTATTGATTTGTTTATGTCAGAAACTAGGTTGTTTGAACTTTTTATATAGGCAAAGTACAAGCAAAGGCTCTGCAAAGAGAAACCCTGGAATAAATTTGTATTAAATAATAAATACTATGAAATTTGTCTCTCACATGCATCAGATTGCATGAGGAAATTCCCTGAAACACCAGGGAACTGGGTTTTTAAATATTTGTGAAGAGCTTGTCTGCAGGGAGTTGACTGGGCCTGGTCTTATTTCAAGAAGGGACAACTGCTTCGTTATTTTAAGAAGGGACATTAACTAGAGAAAAGCAGTTGTCAGGAGCTTAGCAAGCTTTCACTCATTTTGGTTTTGGAAATCTACATTTATTTTCCACTTGCATCTACATTCTTCTGTCTCAGCTCAAGCACTGAAGTGGGAATCAACATTCAGAAGGGTGGTATTACAGCAGATGTAGACAGGGCCATGTGCTAAAGGAAAAAGCAGTTTTGTATTTGATTTTGCCGATAAAATTAAGAGTTTGGTGGTCAAATTACATACTCTGGGGAACTATTTTCCCAGACTGAAAAATTAATTTGGGCCTTAAGGCCCATTATAGCCATTTTCACCAT